TTTCCCATGTCATAAAATCCTCATCATAAATCATTCTAAAAATCTTTTCTATCTTTGGACATTTCCCATTAAATAAACTTCGGGGTTTTCATGAAAACTAGACCGGTCTACAAACGTGCCCTTTTCCCTAAACATTTCTCATGTGGGGGGTCATCACCAATTCCTTATAGTCGAGGCCATCACAAGTTCCCTCGATGAGAAATGTCATTTCCTTCTATTAGGGGCCATCATCAATTCCTCTAATATGAAGAAACTCTTCTAAAGGAAATGCGGGAACCATAAAAAGTACGAAAAACCCGTGAAGTCATTTTTCATAAAACCATGAAAACCATTACCATAAAAGTCATGAAAACCATGTAACCATGATATATTTTCAATTGTACTGAAAATGTCTTGAAATAGAATCCTCTTTTTCATGACTTTAAATTAATGTTATATATGCATGATGATCTTATGAATGTATTATGAATAATAAATGTGCAAGACATGATCAAAATAAATGTTTATGGAATTAATTGAGTGACATAGTCTACACTCGTTTATGTGCATAAATTAAAAAAGAGGAAAAGGATGTTACTTGGAAAATGTTAATAATAATAACATTAATAATGACACGGGATCGAGTCAAGTAACTATGGATTGGGAAGGGGAGTTAATAGAACTGGTTAGACAATAGTAGGAAATGATGGAACAATAAGAAGAAAGGCATGAGCAACGAAATACAAAGGATAATGGAAGTATGACCACCCTGCAGAGTAGTAGTGGCGAAACACTTTCAAAGATTTAACCTAAAAGAATTTAGAGGTGACCCAAATCCTATTTTTGAGGAGGAATGGACATCGATACCTAAAGGTAAAAGAGTGGGAACCCCGCATTAATTCGAAGGTCTACCCGAGTAGGAAGAGGTCCTTCATCTAGAATTGGTGTGAAACTAATAAGAAAAGGAAGGAATAAATAAGGCCACCAAGGACAAAAGAACGAGGCATACTAAGTTGCACTAAATGTAGCCGCCCACATACGAGAGAGTGTCCGATAGGTAAGAAAGTGTGTTACTTTTGTCAAGAAGCATGACATTTATCTAACAAATATCCAAAGAGGAAAATGATGAGAGGATAACACATTCCCGGCTAAGTGTATCAAAGACAAAGAAGGAAGCGGTCAAGGACCATGTTAATTCTATATGCAGTAGCATCTCGATCCCTAATCTTACTATATATGTACCGATAAACTTAAGTGCCACACATTTTCTTATTGCACGATCATTACTAAGATGATTAGATATGACACTTGAAATATTAAGTATTATATATGAGTGGCACTCCTATCCGGAGAGTCTCCAGAATCTAATGCTATAGTTAAGAAATGATAAATGAAGATAAAAAAACTATACTCTACGTGTCGATCTCATAGTTTTGAGTATCCAAGACATCAATATTATTCTAAGCATGAAATTTTATCTATCTAGAAATAAAGCTTCGATTGACTGCTTGGCTAAAAAGGTGGTATTTTACCCACTAAATGAGCAACCCTTCAAGTTACAAGTTGGAACTCGAGTGAGACCCATAACCCTAGTTTCAACCATGATGGATTGAAAATTGATTAAAGGTGGATGTATGGGCTACCTAATGAATATAATTAGAGCCTAAAATCAAAGGACATTGAGATAGTTAAAGAATTTCAAATGTTTTTTCCCGAAAGTATGTTGGGATTAGCTTCGAAAAAGGAAATTGATTTTGAGATTGAATTGGAGTTGGAAACACATATCGATTAACTAAATTGGCTCACTTTTGAGCAATCAAATTCACATATCCCATGCAGATGGCATGAAAAGTTATACTTAAATGAGATTGTAAAATTACATGGAATCTCGAGATCGATCTTGTCGGATCGAGACTTGAGGTTCATATCATGATTTTGAAACAGTTTAGATAAGGTGATGGGAACCAAGTGAAGTTTTAGCACGACCTTTCACTCGTAAATAGATGGACAAACCGAACAAGTGAACCAAATATTAGAAGACATGCAGCGAGTATGTGTGTTGGATTGGTCCGCAAATTGAGAAAAGTACCTAGCATTAGCCAAATTTACGTACATCAATAGCCACCGAGCAAGTATTGGCATGGCACCGTATGAAGCCTTGTACAAAAGAAAATACCGATCACAAGTACATTGGGACAATGTAGGTGAATGAAAGTTGTTCGGACCGAATTAATCTAGCAAATAGCCAACGTTGTACAACAAGTAAAAGAAAGAATAAAAGCAAGTGTAAAGCCGATAAAAGAGTTATGCGAATGTAAGAAGAAAAGAGTTATAATTTCAAGTCAGCAATAAAGTATTTTTCAAAGTGGCTCCTATGAAAGGTGTCATGAGATTCAAAAGAAAAGGAATGCTAAGTCTAAGATATACGGGACCATATGAAATATTAGAAAAAATCGATGATCGGGCTTATGGATTAGCCTTACCATAGTCTCTCTTGCATCGATTCATTACATGTATACACTTTCATGCTTTAAAAATGTATTAAGGATTCGAGTCATGTATTGAGTAATGAGCAACTAGGCCTCTAGGCCAACATGAGCTACGAGGAAGGACCAATGCAAATGTTAGACTGAAAGTTAAGAAATTACGAAATAAAGATGTTCCATTGATAAAAATATTATAGAGAAATCATGAAGTCGAAGAAGCAACTTGGGGAAGACAAGCGAAATGCAAGCTCGGTATCCCAAGTTGTCTAAATAGAAATTTCGAGGATGAAATTCTTTATAAGGAGGGAGGGTGTAATACCCCAATCCGTTATTAAATAATTTAAAATATATTAAAGGTGTGAGAAAAATATTTCATGGGCATGAAATAATTGTAAATAGGCTTATAGAATATTCAACGTGTTTAGAATGATTTTTCGAGTATTGTGTGAATATCTTATCCGACTTTCGAGTGCATAAATAGTGACTTTTTACGCAAATTAATTATTTTAAGTATGATGAATGTGCATGAAAAATATTTTGTTTGCATAGAATATTTGCTAGTGAATATCTTATTTTAAGTTTTGTGAATTAATTTTAGATTTATTTAATGTTAAATATTTCTCAATAATAGATAATTTAATTAGAAAAGTAATAAGTGGGTAGATCGTCAAGTCTTCTAATTTTAGGGACTAATGACGATCCTCCACCAACACTGAAAAAAAGTACACCAAAAAAGAATAGAAAATGATAAAAGTTGATAAAAAAAATATGGAAAAAAATAAAAAAATAAAATGTTAGATTAATTTAACAAATCTTCTATATAATAAGGACTAATATTATTAATTAAGTCAATGCAATCTCCTTTAGTAATTAGGTCATTTTTCGACATACTAGTTATGTCGAGACTTAAACCGAATCTAATGTTGAATTGAAGAGATTTTCGATAACGAGGTCCGACGAGGTTTAATATGATGCCACAAACAAAAAATCAAAATTAATTTAGCTTAAAAAATAAACTTGGAAGCTAACTCGGAAATAAATTAGCAAAAAAAAAAAAAAATAGGAGATAAATTCATAGGATTAAATTAGACATGGTTCCTTTCCTCGAAAAGGATGTTTTTAGGTGATATCTTTCTAAATGCATAACCAACTTTTCACTTTAGAATTTTTGAATCGAGTGTTATTTTTAGGTATTGTAATTTTCTTTGATACTAGGTGACAACTCCAAAATGTGATTTAACTCACATCACTAGTAAATAAAAAAAATTAAATAATTCTAATAGCTTTTTGGAAGCATCTTAAATGTTGGGTAACGAACAATCTTTATGTTTTTTAGTTTTCTTTAATACTAGGTGGTGACTCCAAATGTAATTTGACTCACATCATTGGTAAATAATTAAAAAATAATTAAATAATTCTAATAGCTTTTTGGAAGTATCTTAAATATCGGGTAACCACATTCTTTATAAAAATTAATTTTAACTGGATTTATTTAAAAAATTCAAACTTTTTTTTTTAGGTCAACAGCACAGAGCCGACCTTCAAACTGGTTATGGGGCTAAACGGTATGATTATTGTAAGTAGTTTAATTCTCCGCTCCAACTGGTGCCAAAATCATGACTCGTGGATGGAACTAAATCATGCGCAAATGAGGTCTTGAGTGTCCAAGCGCATCTCATGTGAGGAGAAATAAAAAAATCATGATGGAATCGCAATTAAATCGTAATTGTTATTAGCAAGTGCATATTACTTTTCTTGATTTAGTCTGGTTCAAAGCAACTAGTGCTATCCTATCTAATCTGATTTGAATTAATTAGAAAAGCCGTGGCTTAGGGCTAATGCATTCACTGCAGTAACTCCTCATTGATTGTTTTCTCATGACAATCTGTCACATGCAGCTGTTCACATTTGGCAATAAAATTACGATCATTTGAAAAATGGCAAACATTCAATCATTCAAAAGTCAAAAGTTTGACTTGGCAGTTATGTTTTGAAATGTTTTTTTTGAATTTCAAATCCTCTTTTATATATCCAATGCTTTTACTTTTACAATATAGGAGTTTCTGTGTGAAGAAAAGAAGCTCGTTGATCTGTAAGTAACAATCCTGCCAACAATTCTTTTTTGTTATGCTGATATTTTCTTGACATATATTCCCAAGCATAAAATTCTTTCCTATATTCTGTTCTATTCCATGTTTTTTTTTTAATGAAAGAGTAGCGATGCAGGTAGAAAGTCAAAATAATAAGAATTTGGGATTTTATTTATTAGATTCATCTTCTTTCCCGGCATAAAAGATCCTAAATGTATGCTTCTTCTATATATATATATATATATATATATAAATTAGTGGAAGGGGGTTAACTGAGAGTTTGAGAATTAGGGTTTGAGAGCGGTTGAGGTTTTATAACTGCTATTCACAAATAATTCTTGTGTAATTTCAGTTTGAATCTTTAATTTGTTCTCTCTATTTGTTTGCTTTAGTGTATTTACCTGCAGGTAATCAATTGAACAAGATGTTAACACTCAAAATAGCTATGTGGATCATGGTGCTAACAGAGGCTGCAATCCACATCTCCATGGTCTTCGGTGAGAGTAATTCCCCCTTAATCCTAGAGCATAAGCTCGATTTCAAAAGCTGATTAAGAAACGAATCATGCACTTAAAACCTTTGGATTTGTGACGCATTTATCTGCAACAAATTACATAACCATATCTTGTCCCTTTTGCTTCATGTTATCTTCACGTGGACAAAATTTTTAGGTGGTGATGCTGGGATTATTTATGGAAGAAACGGAGATAATCTCCCATCCCCGAAACGAGTAATTGATTTCCTCACCAAGGACATGAATTATGCAATTTCATTAGTCCGGGTCTATGATGCTAATATGGAAATTTTAGAAGCACTAAGTGGGACCAACTTGGTTGTAACCATTGGGATTCCAAATGAGGCAATTGCACATGTAGCATCTAGCCAGGAAGCTGCTGACAAATGGTTTCAAGACCACATACTTGCTTATGTTCACAAGGGTGTCCGGTTCCGATATATTTGTGCTGGCAATGAGGCAATTCCTGGTGTTGTTCAATCTCTTGTACCACAAGCAATTGCTAATCTCCACAATTCAGTAAGGAATGCAGGCATAGATTATATCTATGTTACAACTGCAGTTGGGGGTAAAGTTCTAGAGAGGTCTTATCCTCCCTCGGCTGGTCAATTTTCGAATGGGGTGGACAAAATTATGAATAACCTCACAAGTTATTTGTATAGTATAGGTTCCCCATTATTGATCAATGTATATCCTTACTATGCCCTGGTCTCGGAGCCACAACATATTTCGTTAGATTATGCCTTATTTCAGTCGCAAACACCTGTATTTATAGATGGGAATTTGGAGTATTACAATCTTTTTGATGCTATGGTAGATGCATTTGTAGCAGCAATGGTAAGGGTGTTGCAAAAAGAGGATGTCAAACTTGTCGTTGCCGAAACCGGGTGGCCAACTGACGGTGTTGGGCCGCATGCCAGCACTGAAAATGCTAAAATCTACAACTTCAATCTAAGGAAGCATGCAATTGAAAAAGGATGCACGCCAAGAAAGGCGGACATTAATTTGGAGGTTTACATCTCGGAAATGTTCAATGAGAACCTGCTACCGGACGAGGTTGAGAGAAATTTTGGAACTTTTTATCCCAACCTCACTGAGGTATATCAGTTGTGGCACTAAATATTGCTTTGAAAACGAAGCAACTTTGTAATGACTTCGATTGCATGAAATAAGAATAGGACTAATCCCATTCGTTAAGCAGTTGTCTGTTCAATTGCTGTTTTTATCACCCATGATGTTCTTCAGCAAAATCCCAACCTCAGTTTTAGGTAGCAAAATCCCATTCTGATCTTTTTAGTCCCCCAAACTCATTTTATTGCTTAGGTCATTTGAGATTACATTTTTATTAGCATGCCTTTGTTTTAGTAGTTACTAAATTTAAAAAAAAAAAAATGAGAAAAAAACTATGGACGGAAGTGGCAATGTGATGTCAATTTATGTAATTAAACACACTTCGCCTCATCGCCTTGACCTTATAGTTGGAGTGCACCGTTCAACAAGTAACTTCATATGGTGATGGTAGAAGGACACCTCACTCTCACCAAAAAAAAAAAAAGGTTATGGGAAAAAGGAAAGGAAAGCTACATATGGCTGTCCAAATTTCACATGGGATAGGACCAAGACATTGACCTTAATAATCCCCCCTGAGAAGTAGATCCTGTCCACTTGATAATGATATTGTGCTAAATTCTTTTTGGACTGTCTTCTTCGTATATGCATCATTAAGTCAGAAACAAAATCCCTCATATACCAGAGATGTAAGGATTCTGGTCTATCCTTCACACTAGCAAGCTACTGCTCGGGTGAAACCCTAACAAAACAAACGAAAGGGAGACTTTGAAATTCCGGAAAGGACAAAGAATAAACTCCAAAAAAAAAAACAGTGTCACTGAACACACTGCCTACAATTTGTCCACATTGAACCTGACCTCAAGCTTAAAAACAAGACCAAATTCGGGAGTCGTGAAGTGAAATTAGAGTCCAAATAGAAAGAATCCATGTCTCTTTCTAACGTCATGAGTTGTAAGTAAAGAGAACCCTTGATAACTCAAGGACATATATTACATGACAAACTCCATATCCCAAAACATATACATATGTGCTAGTATAATATATATTTGACAAATTAAGTTCAATTCCCAATGCACACGCACTGTTACTTCTCTCTACATAAACACTATCTAACTAGAAGCAGAAGCTCCATTTTGACTTCTCAAACAACAAAACACGACACATATTCCTACCACTAACTCTGCTATCGTTGAAACCAAAAACTAATCGTATAAAAAAATACTACAAAACTGACCAACTAATACAAAGAGAAGAATACATCATCAAAGTTTTCAAATTTTTGCTATCTTTATTACGATAATAATCAAACAAAGTCCAACCCAAAAACAATTCCTAGATTCTCCACAAAGCTTCACAAACCAAAAAAAATATATAAACTTTGAATTGAAATTAACAGAGGTTTTTTCAACGCTTGCATGGTTTTCTTGGTACAATGTATATTTATTTCTTTTTCCAGCTTGATAGGCTTCACCATATAGTGACATATGATTTCCAATGCATTAATATTGTTCACCGTCTCGACCACGCTATCTCCTTCCCATGCCTGACCATCAAAAAACCCAAGACTTCGTTTGCTCAAAATTAGGCAGGTGCACAAGAATTGATATCCCACCTCGCACGTAGTCTCTCTCTCTCTCTTTTAACTAGGGTCTAATCAATGCACCATAATTAACTTGGACAAAAATAATTAATGAAATTATTTGTACTAGTGTCATTTGGCATTGACATTTTGACACATAATAGTTAAATGCAAAAGTAGCAGTAGTAGTAGGCTTATGTACTCTCTCTTTTCTTTCTCTGATGTTTAAAACCGTTGTGATACGGACACGTGGCGCCGTTTGATGTGAGGGGAAACAATGGATATGAGTCCACCAAGTGGGGGCCGCATCTTTGACCTATAAATCATCTCATCGTACGGCCTCCTATAAAACTTCAAAAATGGTACGAACGATTCTCGAGACCTGTCTCCCTTACTGACGTGGCTCTCCTTCTTGAAAAACAAGGCAGGTGATTGGAGAAAAGAGGGGCGTGGGGTCCGCGGGTGAGAGATTTTGATACCTTCACTTGCGGTGACACGCTGTGGCAATGGGGTTGATGGGAAGAGACTCTTCTTTGTTGGCCTGGTGTAGCTGCCGCCGTTGATGCTTCCACGTGGGGTTCTGGCAACTGGTGATGCAAAAGAGAAGGACCTAGCGTTGAGGGGAGAGATTAGGGCCGGGCCCAGAGGGGAGAGGCTGGTTGGTCCTACTTTATATGATGACGTGTCGGTCAAAGTGAGGTTCCAGGGCTTGAGTGAGTCAAAATGGTGGGACACGGTGAAGGAAAATCTTGAGGAAGAGCATGAGCCAATCTTGGCCGTTGATTTGATAGAAGAAGGATCAAATCGGAGGGAGGAGGCTCGCGGGTAGGATGAGAAGTCATTGAACTCCAGTGATTCTTCAAAGTCTAGTGATGATACCACCATCGTGACCGTTGACAGCTCAACAAATGGACGGACACCCTGCAACCATGAAACTATTCAGTCACACTCTTGTGGAAAATTGAAGTAGCTGACTCTTTGTCAAAACTTGCTGCACCTAATTCTAGTTAAAGTCCACATTTTCAAATTCATATAACAATGTAATTAGGGATAAGTAAAGGTCACAATTCCTAATTAACTAAAATATTTATATTTAACTTCTCCATTTCAATGCAAATATTAAAAATTATTCTCTTTATTTAAATTTATTCTATTCTTTTTCCTATGCAAATAAGTTATAAGATCAAGTAAGTTCCACTGGTCCTATAATTAGTTTTGAAACATTGCAATACGTACACACCCACAGTGAATCGAGGTCCCAGTTCACAGTAGAAAAACAAGTGAAAACAAGCTTGTGTTCTTAAAAGGGGCAAGAGGTTTGACTTAAGCCTTGTGGCCCATGTAACTAGAAAGGCAGAGCAAAAGTTGGTCAAACAGTTACAACTACTGCCAGATCCAGCAGGTTAAACAGTATTATATTCTAACAAGACAACGGGCACAAAAAAAGTAATCTATTTCGGCCAATACGTGCACACACATAAAAGACACCATAACAACATATGCAGGAAATTTTTGAATTTTTTACCTTCCATAAATAAGAGAAGAGAGAAGGAGGATCGATTACAAAAGCCTTGTGAAGCCTGCCTGGGTAGTACTCGGCCACAATTTTCAGTGCTGCAAGCAATAAATTCATAAAAGCCGACGCTGACCTGAAAAGGCCTGTAATATGAATTGTGAATTATTATTACTTTCAACTATTAAAACCTGAGCATTTCAGGGAATTATATTTAATAATGGTGCTGGCATTTGGCAATGCAAAAAAGGAGAATCCTGGGTGCCATCTGAGCGAAGATAAAAAAATTTAAGGAAGTCTGAGTGAAAATTGACCAATTCTAGGAAAGTATATAATGTGACAAGCTTCAATTCCCAATAATACCCCTACTTGAACTGACCAATAATGTAACCATGAATGTGACACTTAAGGTGCACCCCGAGCATTGTCTGAGAATATCTCAGATCTCTGCCGGTTCTCCGACATATCTCAGCTTAGCTATCATGCTTTACAGCGTGCCCCTCAAACAAAAGCGCCTCCTCAATTTTCGAAAATAAAAAATAAAATCAAAGCTTCATACTAGCAACTACTTACTTGCATCAAAGAGGAGAACAAACTGTTCGGCGTTTTTTGGCATTGTCCCTATTGCCACCTCCAGTGTAAACACTAGCAACCGAGTGAACCTAATTAAAAAAAAAAAAAACGCATGATAAATAAAATAAATAAGCAAATTCAAATTTTACTAGTACAAGTTTTGTTGTTTTTAGTTAGATATGCTCACAATTTTTGTGAATGGAACTTTTGGTAATCTTGCTTGATGCGGAAAATCTACAAGAAATATGCACACAAAAAAAGAAGTTAGTACTAATTAATTAAGTTGTCTAAGCTTATTCACTCTTTATATTTTCTTTCTTGAATTAAAAAAAAAAAAAAAGTTATTAGATGGAGGAGATGGAGAATTGAAAATCACCATAACAGGTCTGGATTCTTCATCATGGCCAGCAACATAAGCAACTCCTTCAGCGAGCTCAGCTGAGAACTCATCTGCTATCAAATTTTCTGTACACTCAAAACCAAGAATTAGGGAAGAAAAAAAAAACAGTGAACGATGACAAAATTTCTATTATTTATTTTGAAATACAAAGTGGAATCAATTATTACAAGGGTGTTTTTACTTTAACGCTCAAATATTCAACTAATTAAACAGAGAAAAGCAAGATTCCACTAGTATAACGAAACAAAAAGAAAAGATGCTTGTAGAAAAGAGTAGTAGCAGACAAATAGAGAGCAAAACTTTTTGAAGGAATAGAAGATGAGAAAAGAAATAGAGGGCTATAGTACCAGTGCCTATACTCTCTCTCCAAGAAAGGCAAGCCCTTAAGTGCTTAGCAGCTTTCTTCAAATTATCACCTTTTGCTCTTAGAAATCTCTCTACACAAGCTTTGTTGCAGAACTTCTCCTGTTCATTGATAGTCACATATCAGAGAGATTTACAGCAATCCTAAAGAGATCAATGTAGACCAAGTACAGCAAAATGATAAGCTTGAAAAAAGAAAATCAAGAAACACACACTTGATTGCAATACTGTAGAAAAAAGTTCAAGTGAAACACAAAACAGCGAAATATATATATATATATATATATCTTGCTTTAAAACGAGAAAAGGAAGCAAAGAACAGTGAAAATAACAGAAACACACCTGTTTAACAGTGAGTGGAGCTTGTTTTCTTAGAAGCTCGAGAACAGTTTCGACTCTATCATTGTTTCTTCGATCTTTCTGTGGTTGTTGTTGTTGCTGGTGGTCTTTCTTGCCCATTTCGAGAAAAACAGTGTGAGATGAAAAGAAACGCCAATATACCAAACTTCTGCTTCACGCTACCATTAAAAACTTGCACTTGCAGTAATAGAGAAAGAAAGAGAGAGAAGAAAGATCAATAGTTAAGGTAGAACTAGAAACTGGCAACTTTGAATAAAGAG